TTTCATTTCACAATAAAAATAAGATAACGATCTTAATATAACTACTCTCGAATAACTTATTTCCAACTAAACTAATCGTTAACTTCGTCACTGCTCTGCTCGCACACCACTAATAATAAATAAAAGGCTCCCAAATTTCTCATTTTCATAAAATTCAAATTTGCGGGTCGTCTTCAATTGCAGAGAAAATCAACATCAATGGCTGCTCTGTAAGTGTAAATTTGCTTCATCTTGTGTTTAATTTGTTCAAAATAGTTCGTAATTTAATAGATTTAGTTAAGTTTGAGGTATGAGATAAGTGAAGCAATAGATAGTGGGTAGCAGGGGCAGACCCACGTGGTGTTGCCGAGTGCTTGAGCAGCCATTAACTTTGTTACGAAATATATATATCTACGTAGAAATCGATAGGTATTTGTATAAAATTAGCATAGAGCAGCCAATAAATAAATTATATAGTTGGCCTAATGGTTCTAGGATGGGTACTTCAAATTCTTTTAGTGTTGTTGTACCAAGGTTCGAATCTCATTGTTAACACATATTTTTTACAGTTTCACTTCCCTACAACTCTTCTGGTTTTTTTTTGAGTTAGGTGCAAAGTTTATTTCTTTAAATATTAGGTACCTTTTATAGGAAAAGAAGAAGATGAAGTGTTACCTGGTACTTGTTGTTGTTTGCTAGTGGTAGGTATCCCGTGGAACTAGTAGAGATTGCCCAAAGATGTAGGGGATGTGGGGGTTACAAGACCATTGATTTGAAATTTTGGATTAAGTAATGGTTGAATATGCATGTTTTATGACCCTTCGGGGTGGCCTAGTGCTTTGGGGTTGGGACTTCTACGTTGGAGTTCTCAAGTTGGAAACCCCTTGCCAGCGAAAGCTAGGGTTTTGCCTTTTAGTTGCCTAGTGCGGGTTACCTCCTATGTGGTCTGCGAGTTATTGCATAGGAGTGAAAGTTTTACCATTTGCGCACGCAAAGTGTAGAGGCTGCGGGTTTCCCTTGTCATAAAAAATAAATAAAAATATGCATGTTTTTATGTAAGTTGATTTTTTAAGTTTGCTTTTAATATGAATGTTGATGGGGGTTATTCTTTTATTTGTACAGAAGTGTACAAGAAGTTCTACCAGCAACTCTGGAATCTACTTCCGAACCTCCGTCTCTCTTTGATGGAACTACCAGGTTTAATCACCTTTTACTTTTACTTACTTTCTTGTTTGCCTTAAGAAAAGTGTGTTCTTGGTCATCATTACGGAGTTATTTATGTAAGTGAAGGTTGTGATGTGAGTCTATTGTGTTGTCTGAAGGTTGTATATCAATTATCAATGCCCGTATTCTCAGCGTGTGTGGATTACCAGGAATGTTAAGGTTCGCCTTTTTACTGCTCCTTTCCATTCTATATTATCTCGCTTTTCTCTTTGCAGTCTGTTAAAGCTGGACAACTTTCTATATTTGGAGACTCTTCAACTTTGAACTAACCGTTTTACTCGTAATTACATATCTTTATTGCTATAAAAATGGCATGTCATATGTAAGATTGAAAGTTGAAACATACTTCTGATATGTGTTTTTTAATCCTTTTTCTTTTTCAAATTTCATGTCTAGTCAAATACCGCCACGTAGTCATTAATTTGAATGAGCATGGTTATATTAGATTTGAGTCTCTGTAAATTTAGTATGCTGTTTCATTCTGTGATGCTGTCTAGCCTGGATATTGAAAATGTGCATGAAGTGTTATATATCCAGCTAGTGCAGGACCGTTGGAATAAAATGGTGTACATATATGGTATGCAGTCTGCACTTGCATTTCTTTGAAGAGGCTTCACGCCTCTAAACCGGTGACTTCAAATGACAGTAAAGAAATAATTCTACTTTTTGTGTCAAGGCTCACTCTCCATGCTATCACACTGAAAGTAGTTATGACTTCCCGACTTTTGACTTCCACGATCCAAACTTGATGGGTCCAGCATATTCGGTTTGGATGAACGCGTTGTTCAAAAGTTCTATCCACCTCCGAAAGGAAGTGCTACTTAGAATTATTGATTTTATTGATGCCTTTTGTAAACTTCCGCTTGGAAGTTATTTCTATCCTACTTGAAATTAGTCAGTCCGTGTGTTCTTATACCCGGGAATGGTCTTGTTTACCTCGATAGATTTTATTAACATTTTGAATTGCAGGGTTTGCAAGACAAGATCAACTTAGTTCCGATTGATCTTCAGAACATGCCTGATTGGTACAAGGAAAAAGTTTATCCCCAAAATAAGGTAATTTTTAACTAAACCAACATTCATTTTCATTTGCCCAATTCACTTGTATTCATACGAAGTGAAAATCTTGAGCTAAGATTTTGACATTGACGTTTGGCCTTGTTGTAAATTGTTCGAGATCTCTTGAAGTAAATGTCCATGAATTTTTGAGAAAAGGATTTTTCTTCCTTTTCGAATTCAATGATTATTGACTGAGTCAGTGCATAAAATATTCTAGTCTTTATCTATCATCCAATTGGCACATACACTTTTATATAAGGACTTAGAAGGAAGTGAATGTTTACATCTTCGGAGAGCAGCATCTCATTTTACGTTTTCTGTTATTTATATTTTTAACTCCTCACAGGTGCCATCCCTGGAGCACAATAACAAAATGATAGGAGAGAGTTTGGATCTGGTTAAATATGTTGATAGCAACTTCGAGGGACCATCACTTTTGCCGGATGTAAGCTGCAAAAGTTCATTAACCCGTCTGTTTATGAAAAATTTAAGCTGTAAATTGATTTTAAAATATTACTGGCAAATTGATGCAGGACCCTGAAAAGCGGAAATTTGCTGAAGAATTGATAGCTTATAGTGATATATTCGTCCCAGAAGTATACAAATCGTTCTTCAGAGATGCACAGACACTGGCTGGTGAGATTTGAGCGTATTCTTTGTTAAATGTCTCTCATGTAAGTTAATGGTATTCACACTTGTACCAGGTGCACAATTCGATTACCTAGAGAAAGCTCTTGACAAATTTGACGATGGACCTTTCTTCCTCGGTCAATTCAGTCAGGTCATTACTTTATTTCATTTTGTTTTCCTTTCCGATGATGTGTCGTGTGAGATGGAATCTCTGCCCAAAAACATACTCGACTACTAGTGAGAGTAGCGTGAATGTACTTCTCTCCTAGAATTTCAAACTTCATAGATATAACAAACACTCTGTGCTGACATGAAAACTCTGTTATGCTAGGTTGACATAGCATATGTTCCATTTATCGAAAGGTTCCAAATTTTCATGGAAAAGGGGATTAACTATGACATCACATCCGCGAGGCCTAAACTAGCCAAATTGATCGAGGTATGACTAATATTACATTACACTCCCTTTGTGTGTATGTACGTGGAATGCTTTTTTATTCGTGTTTTAATCATCTCATAGGAAATGAACAAGCTTGACGGTTACAAGCAAACAAAAGTCTTGGATCCAGAGAAACTGGTTGAATACTATAAGAATCTCTTTCTGGTACTCGTTTTACAAACTTATAGATTATTTTTTTTTTGGTTTGAGAATTGTATATATAACTACATTTTTGTTTTTTTTTTCTTACAGAAAAAGGCTTGAAACTTCAAAAATGCATTTGATCTAGTTACATGGGCTAGTACTTTGATATATCAAATATGTTTGTGGAGTTCTATAATATTATGTATCAATAAATTGGCTCTGTATTTTTGTGATTGTATTTTCCTTTTATCATCATAAATGTAAGAGTCATGTAGTGGATATTTTTCGATTTTACCTTTCGTTATGTTATGGTATTAAAAAATCTCTTCGTCTATCAAAGTTAGTTAACGTGTCAGCCATTCTTCCCCATTAGACTTGTCAATCCTTTGCTCTTTTCCTTCTCTCTTCCAGTTCTCCCCAAAAAACGTCAAACAATTTCCTTTGACTTAAAATCAGCAACAGACTGTTGGCCATTGTATCAGTTAGATGTGAAAAATGCCGGTGGACGAGGAAGAAGAGGAATCAAAATCAGAATTGGAATCTTGTTCTGACAAAGGGTATGTTGCATGGGTCGTCTAAAAATTAGACTACCTTCTACCCTTTGTTGAATACATAAGGCTAAATTTAAACAACGAAAGGGTGAAATGGAGATTATACATCAATTTTTTTTTCGTACCTTAAAATATTTAACACAATTTATTATTTTATCAAAATTCATAAACTTCAAATCAAATTAAATATATTTGCAAACAAGTGACATATAAAGTTCACATGTGCTCTCTTGAAAAGGACAAGATAAAAAATTGTAGAAATGTCACATCAAAATAAATGTGATATAATTCTTATGATAAAAACTATTCTAACTACCAACCTTGTTGACCCATCTCCACATATAGATGTGAAAAACTTTGAATTCCAATATTATGTGTCTTATATAAGTTTCATACTCGAACTATTAATTATTTATTTATTTTTATTTAAATTATTATTAATTATATTTGATGTCGTTCGATAAATATTTATCATTATATCAAATGCGAGAAAAATCTAACCTCATATGCAAACATATGAGCAAAATATTTAAACCATTAGTGATATATATATATACATATCATACATGAATTTTTAACATCCTAAAATTCGTGAAATGAAACGTACGTATTAAGCATGTGATTTTATTTCTCTAACTTTATTGTAGAACTCTTATCCCTCCGAAAATAATAATAATTAAATTTACATTTCAACTTAGATTATATATATTTTTCACCGAAAAAATAGAGCGAGACCGAAGCAGAAGATTAAGGAGAAACTGTTGAATGGGATATGGAAGTATAGCCCTTCGATCATCCGAAAAACCCTAGATTCCTATTTGATCCAAAGCTCCTCCACAAATGACGGTTAAAAATTCTCATTTTTCCCCCAATTTTGAGCCCAAAAGGTACATTTTCTTACAGTATTTTCCTCTTGTTTCAATATAAAATAAGCTAGAATTATTAATATTTAGGAATTTTGATGAATCGGGTCGTAACCAAACACGTAAAAATCTGTATGAGTTAATGGGTTTTTGTTATTTTTTATTGTAGAAGTGTATTTTGTGTACGTTTAGTTTTTGAGCTATACAGGTATAATTAAATCCGAAATAGAAGGAATGTGTATGCATGGGAAATTTACACCTGGGTATTTGAATTTAGGGGAAAAGAAACAATTTTGAGTTTTTTTTTTTTTTTTGATGAATGGGTGGTGAAAAAGAAACATTTTTTTGATCGATGATGATGACTCATTAGTTGGTTAACCATTGATACATCAGAATATAGGGAAAAGAATCAGTTTTGAGGTTTTTTTCTGATGAAATGATAGCGAGTTAATGCATAAATTTGATCAGTTATTGCTAAATCATTGCTATCTGTAAATGTTTCTTTGAGTTGTGAGTTAAGGGATAGAGATAGATTCAAGATTTTTTGCTGATTTGTTGGATCTTTCAAGGTTTTGTTTCTATTTCATAAGATGTCATGTTAGGTTTTAGAGGCATCTGATTCTATTTATTAGAATTGGGGGTGAACCTTCTCGGCACCAAAAACTTGGTGGGAGGAGGTAATGAGTTGGTGAGAAGAATGCTCTTCATGTCAATTGGTGTATGTGTTTTTGATTGACTTTACCTGAGGAGCAAAGAACGATATGGGCTGTAGGGTCAGAGACTTTAATGAAGTATGTTGTTATCCTTCTTGAGTAAGCGTTCATTGGATGTTGATGCCAGGTAAAAGTCTTTTTGTCCTTCACAAATTAATTTGGGTAAATTGCTCGATAGAAGTGCATGTTTGTACATTTCAGCAGCATTTGACTGTTTTGTATATTTTGCGTGTGCCGCTTTTTTTTGTACACTACTTTCATGCTATTTTTCACCCAAAGAACAGTTGGTTTTCTGTACTAGGTGATTGAAGATTTTTTTTGATATGTATATCAAACTCTTTTGTTGTTTTGTCAGGGATGCATATGGATTTACAGTGAGACCACAACATCTTCAAAGATACCAAGAGTATGCAACTATATATAGGGTAATTGCTAGGTGTTTGGCCTGCTTCCATTAGTCACTTGCTATTGGTATTTATCGAATGATTGCAAACTTTATAGTTATTCATTGTTTGTTAGTTTTGGTGCACACCTAAAGCTATGTCTGTATAGAAGATTGGGTGACATTTGGAGAGAAATATTATTGTGTAGGTTCTCTATGTTTTGGCATACGGCTTGTAAATAGAGGTTTTCTCATATTAATAAAATTATTTACCTTATAAAGAAAAGGGAAAAAAGAAAAAGAAATGAAAAGAACAAAGGTAGAAAACAGTAGTAGTCTGGCAGAAATGCACACAGTCTGTTCAATCACTAGAGTATCCCTAACATACTTTAATATGTACATTTTAGGAAGAGGAAGAAGAAAGATCAGAGAAGTGGAAGGGCTTTCTTGATAACCAAGAAGAATCAAGTCAGCCACATGCTTCAGAGCAGTTGGACATCCGGACTGTGGATTTAGAAGTTAAAAACCAGCAGCAAACGGTTCCTGTTCAAGCATCTCAAGAAGAAGGCAATGATCCAGTGGGAGATAATCCAGTTTCAGACATTAAAAGGGAAAGTGATCTTAAAAGGGAGTTGCTAGCTTATCCACCAAAAAAATCCTGTCATGCTTATACGTGGTCTGAAATTAGAGCATCTTTGAGTCTCATTGATCATCTGATGAGCTTTCGTGTGAAGAAGACACCAAAGACGAAAGTTAAATTGTCAACTGATGTTCACAATCATCTTGCAACTATTAAAGAGCAAGAGGAGTTGGAAGAAGAAAATGGAGAAGAACGTTCTGTCAATGAAAATTTGGATGATGGTATCAACACCTCTGCAGAACTAGGTAGTGCCGACAGTGGAGTTTCTCCAGAACTTTCCTTTCCTTGGAAAGAGCTAGAGTTCCTTGTTCGTGGAGGAGTTCCAAGGGATCTTAGGGGAGAGGTATTGCCTGACATCTCTACCAGTTTAATGATTTACTGAAACTCAATATCATAAACAATCTTGTAGCTAAACGCAATTGATTTTGCAGGTATGGCAAGCTTTTGTTGGAGTCAGAGCACGTCGACTGGAAATATATTACTTGGATTTGCTTGATCCAGAAAGTGATACTGGTGATGGTCAGGAGCATGATGGATCATCATTGGCTGAAGAGAACAAGAGACCGAGTAAAGAAAGCATTCATGTGCCAGAGAAATTGAGAAAGCAGATTGAGAAGGTCGTTAGATGCATGGGCCCTGGACTTTATCGTTCAGTCTTTTCAATTTGTAGGTGCTACTTCTTTTTAGGGTCCATTCTGGTTGGTCATTCAACAATTTTGTAACAGATACTTCTGATATAATCTTCATCATCTTCAACCTTTTTTGGGTTGCCCTTTTCCACTTGTCCATAATCAAATCTTACCAAGTTTATCTCATTTTGAGCATCCTCTCCACTAATACATTTCCAGTTTCCAATGGATGTTCATCCTCTTTGACTCAAGTGTACAATATCTACTTTCATCCTGTTTATTCTTCTGTTTGCCTTTTCTTTTTATTTCTTCTCTCTTTATTGACAGAAAACTGGGCACACATATCTGCATGTACATTATTACTTCCATTTCATGTTTGCTCACGTTACTCTTTAGGCTAATGCATCGGGTATTTTCAGGATCTTCCGCGAACCTTTCCTGGACATCCTGCACTAGATGAGAGAGGTCGAAATTCCTTAAGGCGTCTACTTATAGCATATGCTCGTCACAATCCAGATGTGGGGTATTGCCAGGTATGGTGTGGCGTTTTTGCAGAAGTATTCCTTTTATCATTTCCTCAATATTGTTGGTTTCAAATCATGATATTAGTATGATGAAGGAAGCTATAAATTGTGCCAAGCTGACATGCTAGATGACGATATTTTCCAAAATTATTAATGCTTGACAAATGTGGAAACCGTGAGTTGTGGAGCTAAAGCTGTTGGTTGAATACATCTAAATATATGGGTGTTAATGTTTGGATATCTCGTTCCCGCTATATGATTTTTCCTGTTATTGTGTTTTGATATGTTTGGCCCATTTTTGTAAATAGCAATCAATATTCTTGGGCCTTCTTCTTTACTAGCTTAATTTTTCCATATTTAAAATAATTCCAGCGTATAATGATCTAATATTTCTTATTATGGTCTTAAATGTGTGATCTCCTTTCTGTTTTCCCCCCTTTGCTATGTGGTCTTGATTTGACCTCTTTCCAATAGGCTATCTCACTTTTTATGCACTTCAATTTGTTTTAATACATGTAGGACTAGTTTGTTGGTAACAACCTAGGACTCAATTCTCATTTGATTCAATTCATAATGTTGTAGTATTTATGCCTACGGGTTCATTTTAGATGGAAGGAGTACTTGTTACGCTAAGTGAAAAAGTATTACACATGCCATATTACAGTTGAAGGTTGTGGTCATGATTAAGAAAAAGGTTTATGATTGTGGGACTTGTTTGCAGTCAAGGCAGAAGGAGAACATTTGGCAGTGTTCTACACCCCCATCATGTGGGGTCGGATAAAAGAATAGGGAAAATTAAGACTGGTGTAGGTTCATTTGCCTATGGTAAGGGTAATGTTAAGTAGGGCTGACAAAATTAGTCCATGAAATATGACCCTTCCAACCTGCCCGAGAAGGGGTCGGTCATTGACCCGTGCATTTATTAGCTCAGTAAAAAATGGAAAAATATGTGATCAAAATTCTTCTAAAAAGATATATTTTTTATTTGATAATTTATATAAAGCCATAATGAAGGGTTGGGTTATGACCCAGTTTTTAGTCAATTTCAGTCCAACCCATTCCAACACGAGTAACTTTGGGTGAGTCAATAACCTGTCCATTTTATTAACTCAGCTCATTTTGACCCGTCCAAGTCCAGCCCAACCTGCCCATTGACACCCCTAATGTTAAGCTAGATGAGGTTGCTTGTTCCATATGGAGTTGTAGGCCTGGAAACCATTTCAGCCATAGCGTAGACTCAGTTGACAGAAATTAATGTTCAACAAGGTATAGGAGAATCTCCATATAACTTAGAGAATCTTTATGTCATGTTATCAAAGTTGTTATTATCCTTGCTTTCTTTAATCACAGATAGTAAACTTGTTGATAGATTAGGACTGCTCTTTAATCTCCATCAGATCCATATATTGTATGTCCAGTTAATCAGCCCACCTGATTTAGGTATTCTGATTTCACCAAGCCCAAGAACAAGAAGCCTGTGAGAATTATGCATCAAACTCAAAAGCTTAAGGCTATAGGTGCAGTAGAGCAAGATCTTTATTGTTGCAGACCTGATAAACAAATAAAAAGTCCTCTCTAACGATTTATTTTCAGATTAAATATTCGTGAATTTCAACATGGAAGCAGAGTAGGCAGAGTTCCTAAGATCAAGTTCCATAGCCACCCATTAACAAAAAAATTTCTTGTAAAAGAGTGATAAGAAAGAAGCACAATCCTGGTGGCTTTTTGTAAATATACTTGTGGCTTCAATTTTTCATAAAAATGGAAGAGAATACCTTGAAATTCCATAGTAAGAAAGAGAAGAAAATGAGATGGGATACACATTATTATGGCTATGAGTTTTAAGAATACGGGGGTGCATTGTCTAAACCTGATTTAATTTTCCTTAACAGCCTACAAGATCAGATGGATGTAGTTACCTTTGTAGTGGTACTTATTCTTTTCGTTTCATTGGCATGCATGAAGTTTAATTGTCCGTTTTATCCTCCTGCATTCTAAGTTGGATGTCCATTACTGTAGAGTTGAAAACTTGATCACTTGTCCAAGCTATCCTTTTCCATAGTAAGTTCATCTGTTCTTTTAATTTTTGCAGGCAATGAACTTTTTTGCTGGTATCTTGCTTCTAATGATGCCAGAAGAAAATGCATTCTGGTAAGTTCCCAGTGAAACTTCTTGTAACTTCTTTTCACATGGAATGTCTTGTGTATAGATTCATATATGTCTAGATTGATTGTATTTGGCTAAGGTAAATCTTATAGAATATCCTTCAGTTTAGAAAAAGGAAGAACTTGGGAAATTTTCTATAGATGCTTTCTTTGAAATGTTAACTGTTGGATATTTGATTACCTTATTAGCGGATTAATTACCTATTTTATGGTGTATAACATAACACTCTAATATAGGGAGCACCTCTGGACATTCTTAAACAAGTCAATGAGAAGCTTTTCTATTTCCACATGACATCTCAACTAAAAGATCAACTTTCTTCAGCATGGTCTCAATGCATCTACGATCTTGTTAGAGACTCAAACAACTTTTGCTACCGTCAGGCATGCTGCCGAAGTGTGTTCATGTGACCAATGTTATCTTCTATTTTTTCATTTTTTCAAAGGAATACTAAAATTAATTATGTGAAAATAGAAAAGCTTCTCATTGACTTGAATTAAATAATGTTAAAGAGGTGCTCCTTATATAGGAATCTTAGACTATGTATGATATGATAGGTTGATAATGTAAAAGAGGTGCTCCTTATATAGGAATTTTAGACTATGTATAATATGTTAGGTAATGAATCCCTAGGCTACTAATAAAGTAAGGACCCAACTAGATAGAGTATCAACAATCTTGCTAGGCATTGTCAATTGTATGCCTCTTGTGATTTATGGAAGTCTTCCATAGCTGGTCAGTGATTCTGCAATGCAAAAACAAATGTCCCACTGTCTCAGCTGCCTCACCACATAAACAACAGTGTGTGACCATAATAATGTCATGTGTCAAGACAGCTTCTTTTGCTAGCAACCATGAGAAACATGCCAACTTCAAAGGTGCTTGGTTCTCCAGATTTGCTCCATGGCCATATTAAGTTCTGTGCCACTGTCGAGTTCAGAAGAACTAGAATTTGTAGGGTGATAAACAGGTGATGTACCTGTTTCCGCCCAACACCCTTCAAAAGAAAGAGCAAAGGAAACAGAATTTTATGAACCCCCCCCCCCCCTTCTTTACCTCTCTTTTATGCATTCATATATGTGTTGTAGCTCTTGGGTGGTATTCTATAATTGCTTTTGGCTTTTTTAGCTCATTCTTTTGAACCTATTACAACCTGATTAATCAGTATGCTATAGCCTTCTTAGCTTTTGCATATCACCATTCCCTTGCATTGTTTATAAAAAATGATTTGTACTGCTTCGACTAGTCCTACCCTGTCTTATTAGGACACACAATGTGCTTCTGAGTAGTAATAATATCACTTAGTATGCGACTAACATTGTTTCCTCAGCGATCGCTACGATTCCTCTTCTTCACACCTCACTCTATTGACAGAAAATTCAATTCAATTATCAGATCCTATAAGGTTGTATTGAACCATTTCTATCTTGTGCCTTTTGTTCAATGCATTATTTTCTTGAGACTGGTACAATGTTATTCAATGTGTTATATTGGTCACTTGTTTAAGTAGTCTTGCTCTTTATCAACTTTGTTGCTTGAGGATTTCTTTCAATTTGGTGTTGTTAAGTTTGTCAAAACTGCAACTAGAAGACTGGCGCTGATATTATGATGGAATATCATAAGCTACTTGAGGTCTGTTCAAGAGACAATCTAGGATATGCGCTTTCTTCCACGTGACTTGTTAAAATACATGTATATTTGTTTGTGTACTGAAGTGGTTGTTACCGAAGTATTTTATATATTTCTTGAGATTGATATGGAAACCGATATTCATTTAATTTTAGTAACTATACAAACGTTATTTAATTATATTCATATGGAACTAAACTTATAGGCTGGTTTGTTTCGAATCTCCAGGGCATTGGTGGGTCTTATTGATGAATACTTTGATGGCTGTTACTCACAAGAGATGATAGAATCCCAGGTTTGCATAACCTACACGTAATTCTGGCTATGCTGGATAATCATAACTCATGCAAATGATTCCTTTTTTCCCATTAGGTGGATCAATTGGTGTTTGAGGAGTTGGTGCGCGAAAGGTTTCCGAAACTTGGTCTGTCCATGGCTTATATCTGTTTTATCTTGGTTGTCTTCTTTCCTCATCAAAACAATCCAATCGCTGTTTCTTATTCGTTGATCCTTTTGCTGTAGTCAATCATCTTGATTACTTGGGAATGCAAGTGGCATGGATTTCTGGACCTTGGTTTCTTTCAATTTTTGTAAATGTGCTTCCCTGGGAAAGTGGTAAGGTTCTTGTTCTGTGCAGTAAACTTTAGCTATAGTAAAACAGTTCATGTTCTTGTTGAAGATTGTTTAATTACTTTTCACCCCAATGTATTGTTTTACATCCAGTCCTCCGAGTTTGGGATGTGCTTCTCTTTGAGGGAAATCGTGTCATGATCTTTCGAACAGCACTTGCTTTGATGGAGTTGTATGGTACTACAATTCATAGTGAATAATGTTTTTGCATGCCAAACTCATTTAGATGGGAGCAGCTGAGGCTATCTTAGACAACTATTAAGATCATAGCGAAATTTTGCAGGTCCTGCTGTAGTTACAACTAAGGATGCTGGGGATGCAATCACCTTATTTCAATCCCTTACAGGCTCAACTTTTGATAGTAGCCAACTTGTGTTGACAGCTTGTATGGGTTTCTTAAATGTTACTGAAGATAGGTTGCTAGCACTGAGAGAAAAACATCGGCCAGCTGTGCTTGCAGTTTCTCAGGAGAGATCAAAGGGAGGGCCTGTTAAGAAAGATCCAAAAGGTCTTGCCTCCAAGCTGTATAGTTTTAAGCATGATCCTGATTCTTTTATGAAAGAAATGAAGCCAGAGGAATGCTCAGGTGATAAGAAAACAGACAATAAAATATCAGACTCAAATTCCAACTCCGCAAGTATGGATGAATTTCTCAACAGCTTTAACATAGATTCACATGTTGATTCCCTTCCAGGTCTTCAAGAACAGGTTACTTGTTCAGTCCTCTTAGCATATCCAATGAAGAAGTCACTTCTGGGCTTCTTCACCTTATTTTGCTTAGCTTTCAGCTGAGACTGACAATTTGATTTGTGTTCTTCCAGTGTTAACACTTTGCAAAAAATAATGTTTATGAACTTGATATTTCTTCCTGGTATTAGAAAAAGAGCGGTTTGGAAAAAAAGGGGGTTATGTGATTTGGATGTCAAATGGCTCAAAATAATCTTAGTATGTAACCTTTGGTCTTTTAGTTCTTTTTGGCTTTTGACCTATCGTATCGTTTAAGGAACTACATGCAGATTCAGTCTTTTGTTTATCTTATTTGTGTGGGAAAAAATGCTGAGAGGGAGTTCCTTTATCATCTTCTAAATACGTATCTGAATCTCCGAGTTCTCCTTGAACGTTTGGGTGGGGGGTGGGGGGCTTCCATGCCCAACCAAATTTTAATGAAAGTTGAATTTGATGTAGCATCTTTTCATGGGCCAGTCTTGTTGCTGTCTTCATCTTATTACACGTGTTTTGTGCATGAAGAAAAAATTGGCAAATTGGGTAGAATTATTGAAATCTATTCCCCCCATGTGTTTTGGTCCAATGGTAAAGGTAGTACACCACATGATGTGTCGTAGGTGCGTGTCATGAGTCCCAACCTTGCTTAGGACTAAACTCTGGTATATAAGTTGGAGGAAGGCTTAGAGCCAGGTCGATAGTCCATACTCCAAGTTCTGGACCTGTGTGCTAATTGGGGCTGGGCAAGCTAATCAACAGGATTTCTTGGTTATTGCAATCTGTTCCAATTAAGTGTGATGCATTTGGTTCATATTCCAACAAATTGAAAACCCTTGATTTCCTTTGAAACTGACAATTATTTGTCTTTCTTTGATACACTTTATGTATTAATGAAAATTTTATATTGGTGTAGAATCTGTCGTCTTACCAGCAAACTTCAGTGGCAATTGTTAGTGTTCTGTGATTAAGAAAAATACTTGTCTGTTTTATTAACTAAAGTAGTTGACCACTATCCCTTTTTAGTGCAATTATTAACAGCTGCTATGCAGGTTGTTTGGTTGAAGGTTGAGCTCTGCAGGACACTGGAAGACAAGCGAGCAGCTACCCTGAGGTGTTGCATTTTTATTTCAAAAGTCCAATTTTGATTTCATTTTTTATGCGGAATCTCCTGTAATAGTTTTTGTTCCTGTGATTCAATCATGACGATTGCGTCCACTAATATATTTATTGACAATGCTAAAACACGAAAAGGAAAGTTCAAACCTAAAACAGATAAGTTGTAATTTTCTTTTCCAGAGCTGAAGAGTTGGAGACAGCGCTTATGGAGATGGTCAAAGAAGATAACCGACGACAATTAAGTGCTAGGGTATATATATTTACTTATTTTCAATTATTTTAGTGCTTATGTTACTGGTTGAATGTAAGTTATATGCACTTCGAATATGGAAGAAAAGGTCTCTTGTAAACAGACTTTTCTAGTAAATATATATTATCTCTATTCATAAAAGTCTCCGTTTATTCTAGACTTTCTGAAACAAATAAAATCATGTGGTCAGCACATCTTTCTGAAGTTTTGTCAGCAATCTGCAGGTTGAGCAATTGGAGCAAGAAGTAGCTGACTTGCGACACACCCTTAATGATAAGAAAGAGCAGGAGAAAGCAATGCTTGAGGTAGTGAAACAACGCGCTTTGCGTAAATTTGCTTTTAAACCTATATTTACATGCTTAAGATATGACCTTTAGGTTTTGATGCGGGTTGAGCAAGAACAGAAGGTAACAGAAGATGCTAGGATTGCTGCCGAGCAGGATGTGGCAGCTCAAAAGTATGCAGTACACGTTCTTCAGGTTTGATATCCACTACCAGTGACCAATATTGTTTTTTTATTTGAAGCAACTATTACAATTCTTTGATGCATAAGCACATTAACGGAGGTTAGTGCTCAAAACTCTTTTAGCTAATTGCAGCTTGGGAAGGTATTCAGTGGTTCATTTGGCACTTCTTTTATTTGATAAGTAGAACTTTATTTTGTAATTTGCCTTGCACCAAAAATATGCTGTGAGTCCATGACTACTTATCATTATTGTGCTATTTGATGCATTGGTTTTTGAGAAGTAATGAAATAGCTAAATTTTTAATTAAAAGCTCTCTTGTGAAGCCAAAAGCAGTGGCATTTAGCTTACAGTCTCAGCTTAGTTAGAAGTTTCATAATGGGATACTTAATTTTCCTGAACAACCTCTTCATGCAGGAAAAGTATGAAAAGGCTATGGCTTCTGTTGCTCAGATGGAGAAGAGAGTTGTCATGGCTGAATCGATGCTTGAAGCTACCTTGCAATATGAATCTGGTCAAGTCAAAGCTCTATCTTCCCCACGGTGTGTGAGAGTTCTGAGTTCATTCTAAATCTTACATCTTCTCTTTTCTTATGAATCTAGTTCTTCTGCATCCAACATATGTGTAGAAAAATGTCATTAGTTCCTTTTGAACTTCTGCTGAACTATGTGACACTAAGGGATCGTTTGGTTTGAAGACAAGTTATGTTGGGATTAATTATGATGGAATAAGTTATGTTGGGATAAATTATGATGGGATTAGTTATGTTGAGATAAAATTTTTTTGATTGTTTGGTTTGTCAAATATGCACGACATAATTTCTAAGAGTAAGTTGTTTGTTTATAAAAGAGGGTTTAAGGGGGTAATTTTGTTATTTTACATTTTTAATCTCGGGATAAGTTATCCCGGGATTAGTATACCACCCTCAAGTAGGAATAACTTATTCCAGTCATAATTATTAATCCTGGGATAAGTTATCCCCCACTTTGTAACCAAACAAAGTATTGAGGGGTACTAAAAAGTTATCCCAGGATTATTTTTCTTTATCCATCACACCAAACGGTACTGTCAAAGAAACTCCAACAGCTAAGATCCTTTTCAGATGGAGCTTGGATGTACTAAAGTAGTCATCTGATATTCGGGGAGACTTGAAAGAGATTTCTTAAAATCCAGTCTGCCTCCTCTAGAAAGATATTGTTTCGTTCAACAGCCAACTTTGATTCACCTCAATAGTTCCATGACTCCACTTTCTTATAATTGGCACCTAAAGGGGCTGTTAATTGGCAAAGAACCTGCGGGAAAACCACTCTGCTTGGTAGTTTATGTTGTGAGTTTACCTGACAGTGATTCACTCACACTTCCACAATTTTATCTTTTATCCAGGATACATCTTGAAAGAGGGGAATAGCCAATTTAATGTAAAAATTTGCTCTTACTCTGACTGAGTAAGAACCACAGAACCATCACTGAAAAACAACACATGTTGACTGTGTATTAGATAAATCTCTATAAGCCAGCTGCACGACCCTGTCACAAGAAAATTAATTGAAGCAAGCATATAAGACAATTCTTAAACCAGGATATTTACATTATGAAGCACATATAGGACTATAATATGGTCAATGAAGGGTTGAAAACATCAGAAAAAATAGCAATTCAATGACTATGGTGGCTGGCCAGGGAGATGTTACTGGAAAGGTAATATCGTTGTTTAGTAATTCCAAACACAATGTTGATGCAAAAATAGATTCATTTGACAAGCTGGTAACCTAATTTCTGTTACAAGGAAAAAGTTCCTCCACAAGGTGTATTGGTGTAATGTCAATAAATTAATTAAGTGATTATCTAATTATCGTAAGCTGAAAAGATCTAGCCCAAGTGTCAGCAAATAGTGTATGGTGCCGCTTGTTGTCCAAGTGTAAGAAACAAAAGAATTATAGTTACTTGTGATTTTCTTCCCTCAGCCTGTTCTTCTTTTTTGGTGATGTGATACTTTCAGCACTTTGGTATTTTAAATTGGGTAGATGATTTAAAGTGACTATATTTTTCAGGGCGACAAAACCAGATTCTCCGCAAGGTGCACCAGCAAAAAGGACAGGTCTACTATCGTTCGGCCTTGGTTGGCGTGATCGGAACAAGGTATTATTGACACTCCCATTAGTTATAGGGCAATTATTATCTGTTATTGATACAAATGATAAATGATAGCATCTCTTCTTGGCAAGTAAAAGTATAAGCATAATATTTTTAGGAGGCATAACTGGTGAAGATTCCTAATTAGTGATGTGAAATCAAACATTCTGAAATTTGATCATCATTGTCTAAGTGGTGTTTTTCAAGTCAAAAACCACAATTATCGTGGGGTTTAGGCCATGGCTCATGCCTGTAGATTGTATTCAGTACTAAAATATACGAAGGAGGACCAGACATGCCTAATTCTGTATAAAAGGTGACGCCATTACCCATATGAAATAGAAGTGTCACAAAGATGAGACCTCACATTTTGCATGAGAGGACTCATTTCTTTCACTAATCATGATTGTGTTAAATGGTTATTATTTCCCTTTTGGCCTTCCCTAACGGGTCTTAACTTTTGGTATCAACATAGACATAAGAACAAACTAAAAACATGAGAACTTAGACCTAAGAATGCTCAATGATGATTTTTTGCTGATTTGACAGGCGAAACCAAGCAACCTGAACGAAATGAAATCTGCGGATGAAGGACCTGAAATGAGCAGTACGGCTACTGAAGCTAACGGACAGCAAGAATAGTAAACATGCTGTTGCTTATTGAAGGTGTATACTGAAAGTTGTGATTATAAGAGGTGGTAATTACACCCTCAATTGGTTGCATATGTAGTTAGGTCCTTTCGGCGTTCTGTTGGAGTGTAACTTGTACCTCTTAGCTCAATTTTGTTTCAACAGTTATTTGATTCTTCTGTACAGTTACAACAAACCTGTAAAGAAATTTGGCATCTACTTGTAGCAGTTATGGAATGTGAGCTTCGATTTTGCTTAATTGTGAATGAGTTTAAGTTATATACACCTGTATGAATTCTCTCTATTCATCCATTTCATTTCAATACTCAATTAAATTTCTGAGTTAGAAGATTAAAAATACTCTTAAAATATCTCATTTTTGAATATTTATTGAAACACACCTTAACTATTACTTGTTTGCTTTTCCTACCTGAACGATAGTGATTCAGGTAGAAACAGAGATCAATTGATAGTTGAATTGTGTTCTGATAAACAGTTTACGATAATTCAGAGATGAAAAAACCAAAGAAAAATACTTTAGATGTGTTTTTGACTGTTCTAAAGTAAATGCTTTTTAATCACAAAGATATGGCTAAAAATGTATTTAATTAAATACAATCATTGAGTCTGTCCATTATACATCATAATTTGCCTTTTCACAATACAATACTCTGCACACGGAAATGGTTAGGCAAGCCCACTTTGTACAACAAAAAATACATTTCCAAGCTGTGCATGGCTACCAGGAAGTGAGCAAAACCATAAACTGCACTAACACGAAATAACTACGCACTCACATACTCGATATTAGGAAAGATAAGCATAACTGGTCTGACTTCCGAGTACAAAATTTTGGCGGTCATTCACTATATAAGTTCTGTTTGGCTGAACTTGTACTTGAGGTGCATTTTGATTGTCGTTTGTACTGTGATCTATAGCTTCAACTAGCTGTAATCCAAGAGGTCACTCGTCTGGATGTTATGTACTTGTTCATAGAGCAACTTGTTAGTCTTCCTATCACCATCTAGGTTCATGGTTGCCACCCTTTTGTCTCTTATCAGCATCACGTCTCGTCCTAGGTGGAGTAGCAGGTGTCCAGCGTGGGTTTTGAACTCCCTCAGTATCACTGTCAAATTTCTGTGCAGCAAGGTAAGATAAGGCTGTGACAACGTCTGCTATGACTGGACGCATGTTAGGTTGTTCCTGAACACACATTGCTGCAACTGCTAGAGCTTGGTATAAGCCTCTTTCTGGATATTGTCCTTGAAGCATTGGATCAGCCATCTGTGAGAATTTTCTCCGGTCTCTGAACAACGGTTTTGCCTGGAAAGGAGAGCATGAGTTTAATATTTGAACTTGGTTCTATAAAATTGGTTTTCTAATAGCAAAATAATGTTGTTTTCCATTCATATTAGTAGTCATAATATTGCCTCTATAGTTTCTTGGCCTTCGATTTTTCTTAATATCTATTGTCCTTGTACCATAATTATCGAATTTGTTTTGATGTAGTTTGTGTTCTATTACTACCTGTTTTCTTCTTATTATATGCTGTTTATTGTACTTCCATTACTTCTTGTTTGGGACTGCTTTGGATTGTTTTTCTTTTGAGCCAGGGGTCTATCGGAAACCTCTCTACCTCTGAGGTAGGAGTAAGGTTTGCAGACACTCTACCTCCTCAGGCTCCACTTTGTGGGACTATACACATCCAAATTCCCTTATTAAGTAGTCCAAATAACAGAAGACTGAACCTCACTGCAATCTATGTTGCTCAGACTCTCCAAATGTTGCCTCACCTGTGCAGGACCCTCCGAAAATGCACTACTTTAGAGGATCGAACATGCCTCAAGAGGTATTTTTGGGGAGTTCGAACTACATAGACAGCACGGCTGGATCAGCCTGGAAGCCTCTAAAGTATCAATCCGGAATTCTAGACAGCAGGGATATTGAAGTTCTATCCAAAAATGATTGTAGTATTTTGTTTCAACGCAAAAAGGAAGTAACTTCTTTTATCTTCCAAAAGGTTCTGAAGAACGGAGACAACAAGATAAAGGTACTTCCTCTGTTGTTTGTGTGGTTGTGACTTGACATGGAGTTTAAAAAGGAAAGAAGACAGTTTTTATTGTTCTAATCTAAAGATGCGTAGAATATATCCAAATGTCCTTTAATATTGTTGTACTATATAAAAACCATGTGGGAAGTTAGAATTAAAGAGTTGCAAAAGAGAAGAAGAAAGAGGCTTTCGTTTTTTAAACAGTCTCGGACTAAAAAGGAAAGTAAGACGAACAAATTGAAACGGAGGTATTATATAATCAGAAAATATCTTACCCATGCAACCAGATTGTGTTCTCCTCCAGTTTTTGAAAATTCAATTGCTTTCCTTCCAGTGATGATCTCCAAGAGGACGACTCCAAAGCTGTAAACATCTGACTTTAACGTTAACTGACCAGTCATGGCGTACTCTGGTGCACAGTACCCATAAGTACCCATAACTCTAGTAGAGACATGAGTGTTATCTCCTACAGGCCCTAACTTAGCCAATCCAAAGTCAGATAGCTTTGGGTGATACCCCTCACCAAGCAAAATGTTGGAGCATTTCAAATCGCGGTATATTACAGGTGGACTTGCTCTGTCATGTAAATATTCCAAGCCCTTTGCTGCTCCAGCTGCAATTTTCATTCTCGTATTCCAATCAAGCACTTTCTTACCGGGCGTAAGATCTGCAAATATCTTATTTAAATTCATATCTCAACCAAAAATGCATAGAGAATGGAAGAGGCTACCAAAGAACTTACCATGAAGATGGTCATCCAGTGATCCTAGTGGCATATATTCATAAACCAGAAGTCTTTGATCTCCATCAGCGCAATAACCAGTTAAATTTACCAGGTTAGGATGGTGTAACAGACTTAGCATCAGCACTTCAACAAGAAATTCCCTGTTCCCTTGCAATCCATTACGATCGAGTTGCTTGATGGCAACAATCTATAGAAGATATATGAGAAGAGGTGTCAAAGCATAGATCCAGCCCACATCTTAGATGTCCAAAGCAATATTATTAAGCACAGTACCCGAAGATAAAGTCTATATCTATCTATCTATCTATATATTTATACAGTATTTATTGAAGCAGGGGCAGAATCCCACAAACAGCCAAGTGGCATTATCTTTAAATGACACATGGCCATTGTTAAGACAAAACTAACTACCCTCGTCACAAAACAATTCTTAGACAATTCAAATGTCACGGCTTTTAATTATTCAGTTTCCTCACTTCTCTTAATTGGCCGCCAGCCCACTACCTACTTTGGAACCACCCTCTGTAATAAACAAGCAAGAAGAAAAGAAAAGGTAACCTCCATATTTTACACTTTCTGAAAACCTATGAAAGCAAACACAATAACAGGTGATGCGACTGTCGAATGATTTTGTTAAAAAATTGCCAGAAGAAGATCAAAATCAAAAGATAAAGATCCAAACTCTCTGCAATAGTTTTGAGGTTTCAATTGCAAATCAAAAAGCTCATTTCGTTTTGAGAAAAGTACCCCAATTTTTCCAGTAACTCCACTTCATGCACCAAATCCCCCGCCCACGTCCATTTATACCCCAACCATAGTTGATTGATCTAATCTCCCTCATGAACCCTATGCGACAAAACAGCCAGTTCAACCAAAACCTGGTGGATTGGAGGCATAACCAGACTGGAGGGACCAAAAAAAGAACTTCATTCTAATATTGAAAAGAAAAAAGTAACAGAAAAAAACCTGACTGGAATTGAGCCGCCCTTTATATACTCTTTCAAATCCTCTCTCCACGAAGGCAATCACCTCCAAAGTGTTAGGTATGTTAATTGGGCTAACAGGTAGGCGACAACAAAATCTGGCAGCAGATGATTTATATGTAGTATATAATTTATGGTTGTGGCTATTATTTGGAGAGAAAGAAATGGATTATGGACTAAGGTTCAATGTAGCTCACTATTTTGTTGATAAGTCTGCAGAGAGGTAGCCCTTCACATACATATCAGAGGCCAAGATTTACCAGAGTGGAGAAAAATACTGGACAAACTGCATTGCCTACCACAACAACGGAGTGCTGCTTTTATATCTTCTGTATTTTCATGTTTTGTAGGTTGATGTTTATATAAATGAAATGTTATAAAGCCTAGCAAGCAGTGTTATCAAAGGCGCGCTTAAGCCCTGAAGCAAGGCTCAAAACGTGTTGCGCACTTCGCCTCACTTATGTGCACTTCAAAGTCGTCATCAAGGTTCTTTCTAAATGCTGTATTTTTCAGCATTAAGGATATGCTGGAGAGCTTCATAAAAGAGGAACAAAAGAAGAGAAATCCACAAGGACTAGTTGCGCACGGTTTAAAACTTGATGGATTATAGTAAGTTGTTGTCTATGGCAGGGTTTGAACCTATGACATGCACCCATATCCCACACATCACAAGTAGCACCCGTACCAATAGATCATCGTCATTACCATTATTATAATAAACAAAAGGAAGTGATAAACACCAAGGTCATTTTCGTCCTACTCCTTCCATAAAGAAGAGGGTAGACTTGCACACAATTTAAGAAAGAAGAAAGGAAATTTAATAGTGAAAACCATACTAATCTCCCTCATGAACACTATGCGACAAAATAGCAAGTTCAACCAAAATCTGGTGGATTGGGGGCATTACCAGATGGAGACCGAAAAAAGAACTTCATTCCATTATTGAAAAGAAAAAAGTGGCAGAAAAGACCTGATTGGAATCGAGCCGCCCTTTATATACTCTTCCGAATCCTCCCTCTCCAAGAAGACAATCACCTCGAAAGTTTCTTGTTGCAACTGCTAATTCACGAAATTTAAAAATCTTGGCTCCAATTTGACCAGACTCGCCATCCTTAACATACTCCTTTGAACCTAACAGAGTCTTTGCCTTCAACTTATCTGAACACGAAAAAAAGAGAAATTACAAAAGAAAAAAAAACACGGAACTGAAAGTCAAACCAAACAGTTCAAAAACATCAATATAGCCAACTAGGTGATCAAGAAGCCAAAACGATCTAGATCACTTCTCAATTAGTCCAATCTTGGGAAATGCATGATACAGAACTTGGTACAACCACTTGATGTACTGGGAAATTGTGCAGTTTCAATAACTGAGTGCTCTCAAGAAATTTTCTATTGTGACAGTCAAGATACAGTAAGAACAGCATGGTTGGATTAGCTAACTCGGTAAATAGCACCAAGAATTCATTTCTACTATGCAACAGCCGTTATTATTCCCTATCAACCGG